GGCTTTGTGTGACCCTAAAAAGCCAAAGTCTGGATCCCGGAAAAAAAACATGTATTCAGGGGGGTGGTCAGAGAGATAGTACAGCTGAGTAGGGCACTTTCCTTGCTTGCAGTCAATCTAAGTTCAATCCCCAGCAGTCCATAGGGTCCTCCAAGCCCCACCAAGAGTGATCCGTGTATGCAGAGCAAGGAGTAAGCCCTGAGCAAAACTCCATGAAAGCCTTCAAAGCTGGCTGTGACCCAAGACCAAAAATAAATAAATAAATAAATAAAAATTAAAAAAAAAAACAGTACTCTGGGATGGGAAGGAAATATGCCTCCAGGGAAACCTTAGAAGGGACTCTACAAGACAGGAAGTGTCCTACCAAGATGCTGAAAACAAGAATGACTTTTCACCTGGAGGGCTTCTACTGTGATGAACTCTCTTTAAATGTAGTTCATAGCACAGTCCTAAAAGGCTCCTTGGAGACTCGTGTTGACCTCAGGGAGACAGAGGTCTCCTCCAGAAAGTCCAGTGCCCAAACAGAGAGCACCATAAAGGGGGCTGGGAGGCCAGCCAAGCCCCTTGACAGGAAGAACAGAAGGAGTGTTTTCCCCACAGTACAGGACAGCCAGTCATAGTCATAAATTCTGAGGCCAGCTCTTCCTGTCCGGGACATAGGAGCAGCCTGCAAGAGAGCAAAGCACCCATCACATCCCTTCCCTTTCTCTCCCCACAGCTCTTCACTCTGGTCCACAGCTGCGTGCCCCTGAATGTGCTAGCTCTGTCCTCAGAGATCCAGGTGGGAGGCTCGACTGGGAAACTTCCAGGCAGCAGCTCCTGGACATGAGCTATAAAATCGAGGTGTATCTGTTCATTTGTAGATTTTGTGACTGTTGTGTGGGAACTCATGGGAATGAGGATTGCATTTTATCTGCCAGATTCTCCTTGCTGAGGACAACATGTGGCATGATGCAGCACCCCAGGGAATAAATCTAAGTGGCCGCTTAAATATTCTCCAAGGACAGCCCTTCACCCAGCACATCCTAAAAGGCAAGTGAGGGCTCTTGCACCTGTGGGTCCTGTAGGGCTATGGTCCTCCATCTCCTGAATAGCTATGGACAGGTTTAGGTAGAGAAAAGCTGAAAACCGCCAGTCAACCACCTTGATTATAAGTACTGGTCTGTAAACTGGGCTGCAGGACAGAGGCTGGGCTGCAGATATAAAATGGCTAAAGAATGCTGCTCAACGGTGATTCGCCACTTTGGCATGCACTGGTCCTGCCTGTGTCTCAGTGTGTTTTCCAAGTGAAAAGAGAAGGTGAGCTGACAGAAGAACATGAACAAAAGTGTGGGAAAGGGCAGAGGACATGTGGTCACCAGGAGCAACCAGGATGTAGCGCTAGGTCAGGTTCCTGGGAGGGCATGGCTGGAGGGCCCGTTGAGAGGGGCCACCAATGGGAGCACAGCATGAAGTTTGCCTGCTACTGCTACTCTGTAGGCCTTTGGAGATGTCTTACCAGCTTGGAAGCAGAGAAATGAGTTGATTATGTAACTAAGAGCAACATGATAGGAGGGTCAGGAAAAGGCGGTTCTGTAACTAGGAAGACCCAATGACAGACCGAATGACCTGTGTGACAAGTCTGTCACACAGGCCCAGGTAAGAGAAGATGAGGTTCAATGCCATCATGGATCCCCTAGTCTAGGTACTGTGTTTTCCTTTTAATTTATTTATTTTTATTTTTAAGTTTTGCGGCTATACCTGATCTGCTCAGGGCCTACTCTGGCAGTGCTCTGGGAACCATATGTGGTGCCATGGATCAAACCTGTGTTGACTGTGTGCAAGGCAAGTGCTCTCCCTGCTGTACTCTCACCCCAGCCACACCAGCTATGCTCAAAGTTTACTTCTTGCTCTCAGCTCAAGGTTTACTTCTGTCCCTCTGCTCAGGGATTACTTCTGGCTCTGTGCTCAGGGATCACTCCTGACAATGCCAGGGATTGAACCAGGATTCTCAGTGCAAGACAAACTTAATGTCTGTACAGGGTCCTTAACTTCTAAGCTGTGAAGTCCCCATAGCCACGGGAGTCCCTGACTGTGGGTTCAGCAGAGGCAGGACTACAGCTGAGGTCCAGACTCCAACTCTCAGATTCTGTGTAAAGTGTCCTACTCTGTAGGCACAATGAACCCTGGAGCACAGATCAGGGAGCTTAGAGACAAAAGGAAGTCCCAGGGGACAGTGAGAGAAGATACCCTATTGGAAATGAGGGTCTGGGTGCTGGATAACAAGTTTGAGTAATCAGACAGGAGAGTCACCTGGGTCTGGCTGAAGCAACTTAAGAAAACAAGACACCTGCTTTGAAAGTGAATACTTACAAACTCTGGTGGAAACAGGTGTTTGTTGTCCATTCCAGAGGTCTCACAAATATCTGCCAAGTTAATAATCCAGAGACATTCTGTTAAGCAGCTCTGATTGACAGGAGGGAGAACAACAGAGAAAGAGTTCCAAAGGGTGAATTGAAAGAGGCAAATTAAAAAAAAAAAAGAACAGGGAGAAAAAGAGAGATTAGAACTTTGTACTCAAAGTCAGCGTCGCCTCAGACAGCATCAGAAAAAAAATAAGACCTGGCAGAAACTTAAAAAAGAGATGGGGGTGCAGAGAGATAGGACAGTGAGCAGGACACTTTCTGTGCACACCGCTGGCCTGGGTTCAGTCCCCAATACTCCAAATGGTTTTCTGAGCCCCACCAGGAGTGATTCCCTGAGTGAGGAACCAGGAGTAAGCCCTGAACACTGCCGGGTATGGGTCCAAAACTAAGACAAAACAAAAAAAGAGATGGAGGGGTCAAAGTCAGAGTACAATAGGTAGGATGCTTGCCTTGCACACAGTCAACCTGGGTTTGATCCCCAGCACCCATTATGGCCTCTGAGCACCAGGATTGATCCCTGAGCACAGAGCCATAAGTCCTGCTCGTATCTGGCTGCATTCCAAAAAACAAAGAGATGGGATTAATGTCTACTGTTATCACTGTTTAGAACGATAAATTGCTCAGGTAGGCAGAGTCAGAAAGCCTCATCTAGGAGCTCAGGGGGGCCCAGAAACAGGGTTAATGCAAGCAGAGCACAGGACTCCCAGGAAGCCAGAGAGAGGAGAAAGCCCCCCATGGAGAAAGAGGCCTCCTTAAAAAGCACATGCAGGACTCTCCAACTTCTACACTTACTTCCACATGTGGGCTGCAGTGTGTGTGCATGTACACAGCTGCCTGCTTTTCATCAGTATTATGAGCACACACTGAACAGTCCCTGTCTACACAAGTATTTATGCTTTTACACCCAGTGTTTAGTCTACATGGCCTGGAAGGTAGAAGTCTGTGATGCTTAGGGGCTACTCCTGGCTCTATGCTCAGGGCTAGTTCGGAGGAACATACGTAGTTGCCAGGGATCAACCTGAGGTTGGCTGCAGGCCTGGACGGCAGGCACCTTAATCCTTGTACTATCTGTCACACCAGTATTCACATATTTATGCCGCACATGCATGCGTGTGTGTGTGTGTGTGTGTGTAAAATTTGGTTCTTTCTATAAAGGTTCTCTAGAGAAATTGCTTTTTGAACTTAGCTGCTATAAACTCCGGAGACAAATTTTGGTCCCAAATGTTCCTCAAACAGCATTAGGAAAACCAACACCTGGCAGAACCAAATGTAGCAAAGCATTCTAGACTCTGAGGGGTGTATTTTGTGAGGGAAAGAGGGTGTTGGGTCCCACCTCGAGCGTGATGCTATGTGTGGTGGGATGCGCTCCTAGCTCAGTGCTGGGGATGGAACCCTAAACAGTGGCATACAGACAAGCACCTTAACGTATGGGGTGCATTTTGAAAAAATAACTTTCTTTCTCCAATTTATGGACCTTATTTTTCATTTCATACACTTCTTTGTGTTGTGTGTTGGCTCCTTCCCTTTGCCAGCTCTGAAATTCTTCTTATTTTTTTTTTCAGTCGAGGGGGCACATAAATACAGAAAATACAGAGGTGAAGTCCCAGCTGGAGACTTGCAGGTCCAGCCATTACGACTGGGAAGAGACCTGTTATTGCGGCATGTGACAATTGAGAATGAGTGTGTTATTAGGCTCGTCCACCGTGATTACTGGCAGACAGAGAGATCTTGTCCCCGGTCAGAGTTCTCTCTGCTGTCTCCTACTCGTGTGATATGGGGGTATGGTCTCCAAACCTTCGTTTTCCTCATCTCATCTCTGAAAGGGCGACCTCCTCTTCTCGGGAGGAACTGGATGGATGTGGTCACATTTCTGCACACTAGTTATACCATTCGCATCGATGGTTTGAACAAGCAGGGTGGTGGGGCCGCTGCTCTTGGCCATGTGTGCTGTAAAAATAAAAGGTCTCCCTGGCCTTCTTGCATCTGTCCCCGCTCTCCGCGCCTCTCCCCCTCCCCCCACCCCCACTGCCCTACAAGAACCCGAAGCACAGAAGCTTGACCTGACCTCGAAGAGACGCCCCTCCCACACCCGCGGGAGTGCGTCTGGCAGCCTCTCCCTCTCCCAGCCCCAGCTCTGCGCTCTGATATAAACTGGATATATGTACTGGGGGTGGGGGTGGGGGTGGGGGGAACTGCCCGGGGTGGGGGAGAGGGGCTTGGCACTGACCAGCCCCCAGCTGGCGGGGTCCAGATTGCACTGGGGGTGGATGGGGGCGGCTTCCCTGGGGCTCACCTCGCCTCTGAGCCCCCTGAGCTGCCCCCTGGACGTGACCCCCACCCCCACTCCAGGAGGCTGCAGGGCGAGCTGGCCGGCGGGCTGAACTGCTAGCGCCGCTCTACCGAGTACTGGGGGCTGGATTCGGAGAAGCGCCGCGTCGGGCCACATGTTTCCTCCCGCCGATAACATCAGCGTTGTCAGGTGGGGGTGCGGTCGGGCGGGCTGAACGCGCGCGCGCGGGGGACGGGGAGGGCGCGCGCCCAGAAAGTTTGAGCCTGCGGGTGCGCGGGGCTGGGGCTCGCTCGCGGGGCGGCGGGTGGGCGGCCCGGGGTGGGGCGCCGAGAGGCCCGGGGCGGAGGGCCCGGCAGGCGGCGGCGGCGGTGACCGTGGCGATGCGCCGCGCCCCGCCGAGCCCGTCCCGCCGCGCGACGTGAGGCGGCGGCTCCCGGACGCGGGCCGCGGTCATGGGCACCCTGGGCAAGGCGAAAGAAGCTCCGCGGTGAGTCGGGGCCCCGCGGGAGGGCCGGGACATCCCTTGCTGGACTTGGGACCTGGGGTCCCGGCACGTGGACCTCCCCCCCACCCCCCACGACAGGTCTCGAGGTGAAATGGGGCGCGGACAGCGGCCGTCTGACTTGGCCTTAGCCCACACCAGGGCGCGCGCGGAACCCTGAACGCCCGGGACACGGGAAGGCGGCGTGGCGCGCGCAGCCGCGGGTCTGGACGGTGCCCAACGCAGGGCTGCGCCCCGGGTCGCACTGGACTCCCCTGGCCACCTGCTAAGGGCTCGGGGGTGGCTCCGGCGGCGCCCCCTGGTGGCCTCGTCCGGCCGCGCGGGGCTCGGACAGCACCTAGAAAGATCAGCCGGCCGCGTTTGAGGGAGCGCACGGTGGTCCAGGAACCTGAAAACCTTCTGCATGGAAACTTATCCTCTCCGCCACCCCGCTAGGACTCTGGAGATTATTTTAGGAGGGTCGTGGAGGTGATAGAAGACGAAGGAAAAGCGACAGTAAGTGGGGGGAATTAATAACTCTTGGCAGGACAAAGCAACCTGGAAGGGGTCAGGCCATGTTTGCATTTGCCCCTCTCCCCCCAAAGGGCGGGACAACTACCTGGGCTTGGTGTAAGCTGGGCACGTTTGGCACTTTCCAGTGCCACCCACGTGGGCACTGATGTGACTGCTCCGTGCCCAGCCGGCAGGAGCATTCCACCAGCCAACGGAAGCGCTGTTGTGCTGGACTTTCCAGAGCTCAAAACCGGTGACTCTTTGCCCTCCCGCAGCCCACCCCTACCGAGCCCCAGAGGGTTTAGTAGTTTGGGTCTCTAATACAGAGGTGGAAGCGAACCGGGCTGAAAGGAATCCACACTAGAAGGCAATAAAAGCCACCTTTTAGGGCCGGAGAGCTAGAACAACCGGTAAGGCGCTGCTTGCCTGCCCGTGAGAACAGGTAGGCTTACTGCGGGTACTCCTAAAACAAAAAAGTAAAAAGCCATTTTTATTGCAAAGAAAGTTGTGGAGGTTCCCATTCCCTCTGCTAATTTTCTCCTGTGTAGGCTGGACTGCATAAAAAACGTTCAGCCTGACATTTTGACCTGCCCCAGTTGGGAGCTTTGACAGTTTCCTTCTGCAAACACCATGGGACCTTGACTGCTTTGAGCCTCAGAAAATGCTTTCGAATTGTTCTCTTGCGCTTAATGTTTTTAGTCTTTTCTTTTCACTCACAAGGGAATTGGCCAAGAAACATTTAGATTCTATCCTTTTAAAGCAGGCCTACAGGCAGTCATAGAGGCTATTTTTCCTATGGATTGGTCAAAACTCCGCTAGACCTACCTATAAGGAAATAATTTTGCAATTCCTTATCTGCAGCCATGTCACCAGAAACAACAGTGATTTGAAGTCTAGTCACTGAGTGGCCAGTCAAAATCAAGATACTGAGGGCAAAAGGGAAGAGCTTCCTAGTCGATGGTGTCACTAACCCCAGTAAGGTTGCAGGGTTCTGTTTTGGTTTTCATTTCTCTTCTCCCAGGGTCCTCATGCCCAAGCCTCACTGTCTGTCTCTCAGGTATCCACACTTCCCAGATGATATCTCCCCAGCCACCCCTGCCCTCCCTCCTGTCCTAAATACTCAAGTTCCTTCTTTCTACTTGAATCTACCCCAGAGCCTCAGAGTTCCGGTAAGAGGATCTACCTCTGAGAATCACCTGCTAAGCCACAATACTTTCCCCTACGGGTGACAGCGGCAAACATTTTGAGAATCAGAGCCCATGTTCCAAGTCCACAGTGGTCCAGGCCGCACAGAGAGAGTCAGGGTGGAATTTTCCTTTATTTGTGCAGGTGCAAGACAGAGGCAGACCACCTGGCCCCAGCAGTCTGTGGGGACCTAGTCTCTACAGACTGCTATAGAGACTCTAGTGTCAGCCCAGGAGAAAATGGAGGCTCCTACAAAGGACTTTATTTTCATCCTTTCCAGTTCTGCCTTGCTGTATGTCTTCGTGGTGATAAAGGCAGCGGCTAAGGCTGAGTTGAGTTTGAAAGCTATGTGTGTACATGCGCACGCATCCCTGGAGGGAAGGGAGCTGCTGGGGGATACAGCACAGGGACAGCGGGCCCGGGTTCCCCCTGTCTCGGTGCTAGTGACCTCATGCGTTCATGCTGTCCTTTGTTCTGAGCTCTTCCGGACAATTGGTGCAGGCCTTGAATCATCCCCCCAAAGAGTACCTCCACAACGGAGGTTGAGAACTGTTCCAGGACCTGGCTGAAAGTGGGAGGGTCTGAGATTCCGCCTTTATGGGTCAGCTGTGTTTGGGGAGGGTGTTACTTTTGTTTCCAGCTGTGATGGTCGGCTTCTGGTTTTTCTGTTTTGTTATGTTTGGTCCTCGGGATCTTATCTAGCACTTTATATGTGCAAGGCAAGTTCTCTACCACTGAGTCACATTCATGACCCTCTGCTAGTTCTCATTTAGAGAAAGGAACATGGTTTCGGACACAATTATTGTTTATTACACCAGTGAAGCCAGAGAGGCTACCAGGTATAAATCCCGTATCTAGCACATCTCAGTTATAGGATTCTGGTTATGTTCATTTCTTTTTGTCTCCATTTTTGGAATTAATGGAGATAACAATCTTTTTGAGCCACAGATTTTATTTTTATTTCTCTGTCCCCCCCCCCCCCCACTACCACACACACACACCTAACAGTGCTCAGTGCTTACTCCTAACTCTATACTCAGGAATCACTCTTGGAAGTGTTCAAGGAATCAAATGCGGTGCCTATGTTTAACTAGTATTGGTTCAAAGCAAGGCAACTGCTCTAATACCTTGTACTATCTCTCCAGCCCCATGGGCTATGGACCATTTTAAAGACTGTGTAAATCCCCAGCACAGTGCCTGCTGCCCATGGTAGCTAGAAGCTGCTTTCCTTTCCCTGGGCCACCTCAGGGCAGGAGACAGAGAGCCACCATAAGATAAGTCCTGCTCTAGAGGCCAGCCGGGTATTCTAAAGGAAAGGGCAGTTCAGATAGAGAAGGGAGCACCAAATAAAGGGTGTTTGGAGGATGCTCCCAGGAGGGGAGATGCATGCTGAAAGTAGACTATGGACTGAACATGTTTGCCACTCAATGTTTGCCTCTTTTGCAGACCACAACACCCAAAAGGAGAGAGAACAAAAGGGAATGCCCTGCCACAGAGGCAGGGTAGGAGGGGGACATGGGGGGGTGGGATATTATCCATGGTGGTGGAAAATGGGCACTGGTGGAGGGATGGGTATTTGATCATTGTATGACTGAAACCCAAGCACAAAGATTTGTAAATCTACAACTGTACCTCATGGTGCTTCACTAATAAAAAAATAATAAATTAAAAAAAAAGATAAGTCCTGCTCCCTGAAGTGATTTGAAACAGTACTTGAAGAGCCAGGGGGTCCCTCCACTAGCCTAACTCTGTACTTAGGGACCCCCTAGTATATTACACTGTCTGCTTGGAGTCCCTAATCTGTGTGTGTGTGTGTGTGTGTGTGTGTGTGTGTGTGTGTGCAGCATCTGATTTTTATCTAAGTCCCTTTATCTAAGGCCATGTCTTATCAGAGACACTTTCTCCAGTACAGTGCTTGGAAATGATTGTCCTGACAACACCGTGCTTGGTTACCCTCAACACTCACCAGATACTTAATTATGATTTATGCTTCTGTTTTCATATTCTTCATCTGATACTCTTCTGTTTTTGTTTTTTTTAACTTGTTTTGGGTGAATCCCAGCGATGCTCAGGGGTTACTTCTGGCTCTGCACTCAGGAATTACTCTTGGCGGTGCTTGGGGGACCATATGGGATGCCTGGAATTGAACCCAGGTCTGCTGCGTGCAAGGAAAATTCTCTACCTGCTGTACTATTGCTAAGGCCCCAAAAAACAGATTCTTAAAAGCAACCACGATGTGTGAGAATGGGAGGATCAGCTGTAGACCTGAACACAGTGGACCCCCTCACACCTGCCCCCTGCGGGTCAGCCTTGGACTTCTTTCTCCAAATCCTGAGAGGTGCACCCCAGGCTGCCTGGCCTATAGCGGCTCTAGTATTGTTCAAAATAAACCAATGAAAGACACAACATTTTGCTTTCAAATTTTTAATTCCTAAGATCAGTCAGTGGTCTGATCCAAAACTAGTGCTAGAAACTAAAACTGCCCCTGCCTCTCCTCGCAGGGAACTGGAAACAGGAGCCAGTCACCCAAACCCGGGAGGCAGAGCCAGGTTGCAGCCCAGAAATCACGCCTTGTTATTTACTCTGAGATGTCTCTTTAACAGCCAACCAGTCTGATAGGTGCATTTGCCAAGTGGGAGGGGTAAATCTCTTCAAAGCCCAACTCCTGGGATTAATTGTTTTATCTCTACTCCTTTCTTCTCCAATCTGCCTCCAGAGCCCTGAGCTGCCAGTTTGTTCCTCCCCAGGCAGCTCTGCTTCGTACTCACTCGCCTTTTTGCTCTCCCCAGGAAACCTCCTCATGGCTGCAGAGCTGCCCCTAAAGCAAAATTAGAGGCGAAGCCAGCCAGCAGCCCCGGCCCCTCCCACCCCAGCCTGGCCCAGATCACCCAGTTCCGAATGATGGTGTCGCTGGGACATTTAGCCAAAGGAGCCAGCCTGGACGAGCTCATCGATAGCTGCATTCAATCTTTTGGTGAGTTGGTGAACTGCCCACACTCAAAAAAAAAAAAAAAAAAAAGAACCTATATTACTTTGTTCTTGCTTTAAAAAGTGCTCTATAGAATAGCAACCTAAATTGTATTGGGGCTTTAAAAATAGCTTTAGAGCCTCGGCAATGTTGGAGACAGTGTGCACTGTGGCATGTGACTGTGTGGGTGTAATAGGTCGTGATGAGAGGTGCGAGTTAAAGTGAGAAGTTACAGGGGAGAGTTTGCGCTTTCATTCTCCCTGGGATGGCGGGTCCCTCATGGTGAGGACTGTTCCAAAGTGCTTGTGTGCGTTGGGTGCTTTGACATCTTCTGGCGGTGTGTTCTTGGGGCACACGGTGACTGGGTTTCAAAGAGCCAGTGGTATCCAGTTGAAATGGGAAAGCCTTTGAATCATTTAGACAGAAAGGGGTTAATGATTCTCCTCCCAGTCCAGGGGGTAATTGTGATGGGGTAGGGAAAGACTAGCTGAAGCCAGGATGTCTGTGACTGACAGATACGGGGTAATAAGCATCCCTGATAGAGGGTCAAGAATCTGTGAGATAAGCCCAGATGCACATTGGCAGAGAATTATCTTGATGCCATGCTCTGTCATTGCCTTACTCACTGTGAAGGATGCAGCTGACAAGCAATTAGCTGCAGAGATGCCCTGGCTTTTGAGTTATAAGCACTGTCTCTTTCCATTATATTTGTGAAATAGTGATTGGAAAGTACCAACTAGTTGCTTCCTTCCTAAAAAGGAATAATTCAAATGACGAGGAATATTGTCGATTCCTAGTGCCGCTGCTTCTCACTCTATGTGCTCCTTTTCAAACTCCACCACCTCCCACTGAGGGGCTGATCAGCTTTCTGTTCCCAAGCACCATATTACTCCATGCCTGGGCCCCCTGTGGTGTACGGGGCAGGCGGGATGCTCAGATCCTTGGTCTCAGGGTCTGTCTGTGACAGTGAAAGGAATCATCAGCTGGACATGTTGAAGGCTTGGGCAGACCTTATTTATAAAGCCAGGAAAGGCTTGATGTTCCTGGGATACTCTGCACAATTTGTTTTGTCGACATTGAAAAGAACAACTTCAGTGGTTTGAATATGGTTTAAAGCAGCAGCCCTTCTCAACTAAGCATATGCTCCCCACTTCCACCCCCGTGGACCAGCAGGGTATTCCAAGAGTACCATGGGTGAAAAGTGTACAAATGGGGGTCTAGGGGTAGGGCCAAAAGATGAGGGGTTGGAGGGGTTGGCTACAGGAAGGAAACAATGTCAGAAAGAGATTGAAAAACACAAGTTTAAAGCAGTGGTTCTCAGTCATGTGAACTTATGTGCCAGCATCTGGGCCCCAAGTATCCAGGGTAGGAATTCTCATTGGGAAAAGTTCTCAAGTGATGCGTGGAAATGCAGTTGATCAGAGGACCCCACTCCTTGGTTTGTTACAGACTGGGAATACTTTTACTATCACCCATGCAGGGTTATATTTTGATCAGATTTGCATGTACGCTTTTGTAGTGAAGTTTGGGAGTAGAATGGATGGCTTCTAGTTCCAAATCATCTGCCGAGGAAAGGCCCATACAAAGAATAAAGTGGGAGGAGAGCCCGCCTGTGCCCCAGTTCCTCCTCTTGTGCCGGCCCTGCCTTCCTTGCTCCTCTTTCCAGCTGGAATATTCTGCATCTTCCTCCCAGTAGGCGGGCATCCCTCTTGGCATGGGAGTAAGGCGCTGCATCTGCTTCATGGGTCAGAGGTTTTTTTTCTCTCTTTGTGTGACTGTTGAGACCAGGGCGAACAGGGATGCATCTTCCAAGCAGCATTGGGTTCTCTTCTATCCTGGCTGCCAGTTGCCAGTCACACAACTAAGAATGTGCCTGCTCCGTGTAAGGTTGTTTTCCTAACCTCCAAATAATCATAACATCAACCTGAAAAATCTGTGGCTGCTTCTCAAGTCCTTCCCGGAAACCAAGCCTAACCCACTCCCCTCCACAAAGCCGACAAGAGCTATATAGATTCAGTTTTCTGGAATATGTTGAACAGGGCGGAGGACCTTCATTTAAAAAAAACAAACTCTTTGTTTTGTATGTGGCTGACCCGGGTTTGATTCCCAGTATCCCATATGGTCCCCCATGAACTGCCAGGAGTAATGCCTGTGCATCGCCATGATGTGACTCCAAAAGCAAAATAATAATAATAAATTAAAAATAGGAATGAATGAATAAATAAATAAATAAAACTCACTAAGTTTTATAACTATGTGGGGGTGGGGGGCACGGCCGGTGATGCTCAGGGCATACTCCTGGCTATACACTTAAGAATCACTCCTTGTGGTGCTTGAGGACCACGTGGGTTGTCAACTACAGGCCAAGCGCCTGACCTGCTATACTATTCCTGCATCCCCAAACCTTTTATTAATCTATAAATATGTTATTGGACTCTGGGAAATAGTCTATAGAGTAACCTTTTCTTCATTTTTGAGAGGCAGTAGTGAAGCACGTAACTGCAGCTGACCCTGTGCTCTGCGTGTACCAGGAAAATTATAGGATTGAACCCCTGCTCCACAACCGGAGGTGGGAATAACTGAGATGTGCACCACTAGGAAAAAAAAAACAAATCTGTACCAGAGACAGAGTTCAGAAAACTAAGGCATGTGGGCAGAATCAAGGACTTTCAGTTCTCTCCAGGGTGAGGGTGCACCGGGCACCCCCACCCTACCCCCGGCTCTCCCACCCCACCTTGCTGGGCCCCACAGGAAGGCTGCTACAGGAAGACAAGGCCAGTCTGATGGCAAGGCTTTGCTTGCGTGCTGCAGAGCTTCCTGCCGCAGGGTTTACATGAAAGAGGCGAGAAAGGAGACACCTCTGTCTGCTGGGAATGGGAGTGAGCTCTGAGTCTGCGAGTTGACTGTTTGCAGGCTCTGGTAGCTGTGAAGTGTCTGGTGCAGCAGGAGGGTGGAGCATGAACAGGGGTGTCAGGCAGGCAGCAATGGGACTCTGAACTAACTGCAAACTGCGTGTCCCGTCTGTACGGTACCCTCCTAGGTGTTTTGAGGAGAACTGGGACTTCGGATGAGCGAGAGCAGGAGCTATGTCTCTCTAGTGCTCTCTGGTTGGTTGCCTCCTCCAGTTTGCACAGACATGATTGCCTTTGGAAAAGAGCATTCTAATTAGCTTTTTGTTCATGAGTTGAGATGTCTTCTTATGAGAACCCAGAGAGAGAGTGGGAAATAGTGCAGATATGAGCAGAAACTTTTCTTTTTAGTAATCCCTCATATCATACCCTGGTTTCAGCCACTCCTCCTTGTCCCCTTGCGGGGGGTGTGGGGGGAGAAGAGAAGAGGAAAAAACGTCTTTTGAACACAAAGACAGGTTCGTTGATTTATTACTTTCTGGCATCTTCTCTTGCCTTCCTGCAGATGCTATGAGGTTTGAACGGGCAAGATGTGCTGCTCGGGATTCAGCCACCAGGTGGATATTTAGTGAATTAAAATGAAATGTAAGGGGCTGGAGTGATAGCACAGCGAGTAGGGTGTTTGCCTTGCACGCAGCCGACCTGGGTTTGATTCCCAGCATCCCATATTGTTCCTCAGCACCGCCAGGAGTAATTCCTGAGTGCAGGAGCCAGGAATAGCTCCTGTGCATTGCTGGGTGTGACCCAAAAAATACAAAACAACAAAAAAATAAACGTATTAAATTTTTTAATTAAACCCTCAACAGCTGAAGTTCAGGGACTCAGACGTGGTAGCTGCCACAGAGTATCGTAGAGTGTTTCTGCCATCAAAGGAAGACTATTAGAGAGTGCTGGGCAAGACAGATGGTCAGCCTGAAGGGGGAAAATAACTGACAGGCCTAATGTAAACTGTCAGATTTGCAGATTCTTTTGCATTTTTGTCAGAAAAGGTTTCACATCCAGCATTGCTGAGGTGGTGGGGGTGGGGGGTGGGAGGGGGGATCGATTGCTTCTACCTGGGTGCTCAGTGCTTGCTTCCAGGTGGTATTCAAGGTAGCACATGGTGCCCTGGGTTAGAACCTGGGACTTGAACCCAGGGCACCTGTCTGCAGTATTTTCCCATCCCTTGAGCCATCTCTCTGGTTCTAAATTCCTGTTCTTCTAGCTGTTCTAGGTATTAATCGGAACACTTGTGCAGGCAATCTGGGCACTTGTCTCTCGCTCTCTCTTTAGTATTATTCACCATTAATTATCACCCACACTGTGCTCAGAGGAAGGACTTATTACAGCGCTTTTAAGGGTGGGAGAATGGTATGTACAAATTAAGGGTGCATTTGAAGGCCTCGCTTGCCAGCTACCCAGTGTCATAGACAAGGTTACAAATCTGTGATTAGAAACTCTGAGCCTTGAGTCATCGCTCATCGCTTCAGCCGAGTCTCAGCCCTCTCCTACCTGTCTGTTGTTATCAGGGGTCATGCTTTACATTCAGCTCTCTTCATGCCAGTTCAAACACTCTTCAGCTTGGTATAATGAGGCAAATCATCCCAACCTGCTACATTTATGTCAGATGTATGTGAATCACACCATCTGTTTTGAAGGTGCAGAGAACTATGAGCTCATTAGGATGTTTGGGGCTGTTATAGGGTTTTTTGAAAGGGGGGGGTGCTGGTGATGGGGGGTGGATATTTTCACTTTGTGAGTGGGCTTCCAGCATTGAGAGCCAAACGGAAAGTTTCAGATATCCAAATTCATGGAGCTCTTTGCTCCTCTCCAAGTTCCAACAGCCTCAGGAACAAAAATGCAAAGAGGTCCGGGCAAAGGTTAGCAGTCAGAACTGCTGCCGGCAGTTGTCTGTGGGAGAAACTCAGCATTCTGGTCTCACCTGCTGTTTGAAGGGGCACACATCTCACCTGGCACCTTATATTATAGAGTGTGTTTCTTGGCACTCCCTATGATCAGTTTTTTTTTTTTAAACTCTCAGTGTGAAGGTCAGGAGTTCTTGTCTCTATTGGACAAATGAGAAAATAAATCACACATCTGAGAACTCCAGCACCTCCC